TAAACACGTATACTCGTCGACCTAAAGTCAACAAATTCATTAATCATCTGAACTTATTTATTTATGGGTAGATATCCTAACCTGCGACAACCTACACAATTTTGGATCGGGTGTTGGATTTAAACTTTTTATTTTGTGGAATCATTGACCCAACCCATTAATGTGAATTTAATAATTTTTTAATTATTTTTAATTTTATGTTAAGTGAAAAAATATAAATAATATATTACTACAAAGTACTATTTTTTTCAAAAAAAAATTCATTTAACACCAATAATGTTACTAAACTAATATTAAGTCAATGATTTTATTTATTTTTAAAACTAAGTGTTACCTATTTGATGTTGCATCATTTTAATATATCGATTTTATGAAAATGATATATTTTTGTCGTATTTATTATTATTATTATTATTATTATTATTATTATTATTATTATTATTATTATTATTATTATTATTATTATTATTATTATTATGGATTTTATTTGATATTATATGATGTATTTTATCTCAATTAAGTTTTAAAAATATGTACAAATGTATTAAATCACGTTATAACTTTTTTTAAATTAAAAAAAAATAGTATTAAATTTATTTGCTTATTTTATTCATAATATGCAAACTCAATTCAACCCAAAAATAAATAAGTTAATTCGGTTGATTTTGTCCGTGAAGTTATGAATTGAACAATAAATCTAGTCCATTAATAATTTAAACGAGTTGAATTATAGTTCACGTCGTGAATGAGCATTTAACATGTCATCTCCATACTTATATATGACACTTCTTAATAATGGGACTATTATTTTGATGCTCATAAATTTTACTATAAAAAATTTCAAGAAAATATCATATTTTTTTCGAAATTTCAAGAAAAAATAATTGGAAATTTCGGAAATTTTTTGAATTTTTTGAAAAATTCAATAGTTCAATAATTCAATAGTTCATATATATATATATATATATATATATATATATATATATATATATATATATATATATATATATATATATATATATATATATATATATATATATATATATATATATATATATATATATATATATATATATTGAAATTTACAGTATAGTATAGAAAATTTCAATATTTTTCAAAATTTTGTATAGTATAAATTCAAAAAATTATATCATAAATTTGATATATTATTGAAAATTTCGTTTTTTCTCATCCATGAATTTGTGAATTAAAAAATATAAGAGTGCCAGATTTAATTTAAAGGATGGCAGGTTAAATGTTGACCGTGAATATGCAGCTAGCCTATATGTAATAGAAAATCTCTCTTTTCTTTTGCAAAGTTAAATAAAGGGAAAATTAAATTGATATGAGAAACATGAAAAGTGTAAGATTAAGATTATCGTCATGAATTAGATCATATGTTAAAAAAATGTTACTCTATATGTAATAATTTATAAATAAATTTTATTTTTTAGATTTGTTGAATAATTAATGTATCTGGTTTATATATAGACCAAATATATTAATTATTCAATGAATCTAAAAAACAAAATTTTCTTATAAATTGTTACAGATGAGTATATGCTTAGCTGGAAAATCTAGGTAATGATGGGGAAACCTAGGGCTGGACAGAAAATCATAATCCAGCCCAACCTGGAAAAAAAACCCCGAAAAAATAGTGATTTAGGCAGTTTAAAACAGGCCAGCGGTTTAATGGGTCCAGTTAACAGTTTGGGGTGGGTGAACATGGGCGGGTTCAGATTGTATTATATGAACTGCGGGTATCCTGACCCGCCCAACTAAAATCAACAAAACTATGTTGTTTTTCATAACAACGACCCCCCTTTCATTTTTCTCCTCTATTCCATCAGACTTTTCTCACCTCATCTCTACTAAAAAACTCTCCTCACCTCACAAACCCTATCCATGTCATCGTTGTCGCTCCTTCACTTTCATCTATCTTTATCAACTCACGCCTCTTTAAACTATCATCACTATCAATAACTATACCTTATTTGCGTTATTTTTTCCTCTTCTTCAACTTATTCTACCACTCAAAAGGAAGAGACGCGGACCTCCTTCACCCATGTTATTTAAGTTTCTTACGTTCCTCTTCTTCTTCTTTTTGTTTTCAAGGTGAGGGTTTTATTTTTGTTTTCAAGTTTTATAATTTTTTCTATTTCGATTTAGGGTTTTTTCGAGTTTTATTTTCGATTTATGAACTATTGTCATATATTTGTTTCAGACCTTGAAGAAGCATAACTTGCATTTAAGGAAAAGGTTCAAGAACTCTTAAGGATTAGGGTATATGAAATAGAAGGTACCGATGAACAAAGGTATCTTAAAATTTATAGGTGTTCATAAACGTTTTTCTAAACGAGTATTTTGAGGCATGAGTTTCTTAAATAAAGTCTTTGTTGTTGGCCTAGCACTTTGTGTGTTTTCTGCTATCTATGTTGTGTCAACTTACTATGAAGGTTAAAGGATGCAAAAAATTATGTGGTTTTGCAAGTCTGAATTAAATGAGAGGTAATACCCCCCTTGACTTTTCATCAATCTCTCTCACCCTCAAAAGAAACCCTAAACAAGCTTCACTTCACCCCACCATTTCTCTTCGCACTATGAGATGACGAACCCTCTTCCCCAGTCATCCTTTCGTTTCATGTGTTAATGGCTATGATTCACGACGAACAATATCTCTCGCTCTCATCATGAAACCATAGAAAAGGTAATTTTTACCTATTTCGTTTCATCTTTCTTTTTTGAATAACACTATTTTAGGATTTTTAGCCCTCTTCCTCTCAATGTAATTTCTAATTGTTGAAGAACAACGAGTATTAGGGTGTTTGGTTCGGGGTAGATGGGGGGAGGGGAGGGAAAATATCTAATTAAATATGTTTGGTTCAAACTTTAGGAGGAGAGAGGAGGGGAGGGGAGCAAAATTCCTCCAAAACTCATTTTGTACATCCTCCAAATTGGGGGGATTTGGAGGGGAGGGGAGGGCAGGAAAGATAAATTTTGTATTTAAAGAATTATTATATTTATTAAAATATCTTTAGTTTTATTTTAATATTTTAAAATTATTTCATTTGTTTTGTGTTACTGCTTCTTTTTTGTGTGATTTTTTTATTACTTCCATCAACTAATTATAATTATTTTTCACCTTTACTGTTGATAAATTTTTATATTTAACATAAATTATAATCATTGTACTTTCTTTTTATTTTTTTATAATTTATTTATTTATTTATTTATGTTTTTTTTTCTTCTAATTTTACTATATATTTTATTATATATTTTTTTGTATAAAATAAGTTATTTCTTTCAACTTGTGTTTAAGTGTACTTATAATTGTTTTTATTTCATTAATATTTAATAATAAGTTATTTTATGTATTTGTTTTATTAATAAAAGTTGTTATCAATACACACTTTAATTTGTGTGAGCGTTATAATCTAAATCAAATTAACTCAATTTTTTTTTAATGTTATATGGTTACTTATAATATTTTTAATCATTCTACATTAGAAATTTTATTATAAAAAAAATCTGTATGAATTTTTTCATCTATGAATATCATATCACTTATACAAGATCATAAGAATATAAATGTAAATTATTAATAAAATCACTTCTCATCCCCTCCATACATATTTTTAATTAAAATTTCTCTCTTCCCCTCCCCTCTTCTCTTTTGAACCAAATATATATAGAATTAAAAAAAATTCCTCACCTCTCCTCTCCTCCCCTTTCCTCTATTAAATTTTCTCTGCTCCCCTCTCCTCGTTTGAACCAAACATACTCTTAGGATTTTTACGTTATAATGAAATCTTTTTGGAGTTAGGGTTTGTTTTTCTCATCTTTTTTAACCATCTATCTGTTTTGAATAACTTTAAATTGTTTTGATAGTTGGATTTTGAGTATTTTCACGTGTTAATATGTTGAGTGTTTTGCTTTACTTTATTGATTATTTTGAGTTTTGAAATTATTCTAAAAATTATTGTGTTTTGATTTTAACCACTTACACTACGCAAAAAATAAGTTACGAAAGCGTTTTTTTTTTTTGTTTTGCCTTTAAAAGCGCTTAAAAGCGCTTTCTAAGGTGGCGCTGCTATAGGTTTTAGCAGCGCTTTTTGTTTAATGAGAAGCGCTTTCATAGGTCTACCTAAGGCAGCGCTTTTTTCTGGAAAAGCGCTCTCATAAGTTTTCTTTTAGCAGCGCTTTTTTCTGGAAAAGTGTTGTCTTAGGTAGGCTTTTAACAACACTTTTTTCTGGAAAAGCGCTTTCATAGGTGGTCTTTTAGCAGTGCTTTTGCCTGGAAAAGCGTTATCATATGTTTACCTTAGACAGCGCTTTTTGTGAAAAAACGCTTTCATAGGTTACCTAAGGCAGCATTTTTCTTTATACAGAAAAAAGACTAATTTTAATTATATGGATGCAAATAAAATAGGATCATCTATTGGGTTATAAATAGAGTTGTCCAATTAGAAACATTAAAACTGAACAAAACCAAAAAAGAAAGAAAAAAAGGTGACAACGTGATGCTGTAATTAAAGGGTAAAATCAGCTATTCATAGTTTTCTTAAACAAATATTCCAAATTATACAATTATAAAATACAAATTTTACATCGTCATTACTGAAAAAATCACTAAACATGTCTACCGAAGACTATCCCAAGCCTGCCATATGAAATCAGTTTCTTTACAACAACAATACAACATAATCCATAAGGCATATGACTTAAGAATTGATGAGTAGCTTACTTGACCAGGATAATAGAATGGTAACTCGTACTGCAAGAAACATGAAACAATTAAATAAAAGTTAGCACAAGAATATCTTTACTTTCTAATATTCCAATGAAACACACATAAAAAAATCGCAATCCTACCATGCCCTCTTTGTAGTCCTTGCCTCTTTTCCTCCTACCAGGGTAATAATCTTAGTCTAGCTGTCACATTCATATCAAAGTTAGCATTAACAATCCACATAAACCAAAGCAAAAAAAAATCATGAATGCTAGTTGCATTTTCCAGATCCTAACATATACTCTGGCCTGAATACTGCCCAATTGTCAAGAGTTTCTTCAATGTATTTCTCAACTCCAACATGACCAGCATCTGCTTTGACAGCATCCTGCTCCACAGTGGTTTTCAAACTTTAGACTGTAACAATTATTATCAGCATAGTGATTTTAGAAAAGCGATATTAGGAATATTTAACACACCCCTTCAACATGAGGAGGTTCATCCGTTGGTTTGTAGATTCCGGCATTACTGATGAACAAGAATTGCTTGGCACCTGCACTCTTGGCCCAATCTATCACCGGCCTACAAGGAACGATCGAGATTAAGATGTCTGGCTTAGAGATAACAATTACAATGTCTGAAAAGTTTATGTTTCTTTAACAGTATTGCAGTATGTTGTTGGCAATATGAAACATTGGCATAACAAACATTAACACACGAGAATTCTAAACTTATGTTTGTGTTCTGTAAGTGTCGAACACCAGACATGTCTTTGATCTAAGAGTTGGTGCCATGCATGACATATAACAAGATAACAAGTGAAGCAATGAACACAAGTTAACAAGAATTGATACAACAAACCTCGAAGCATCAAGATCCTTGCCATTGTTGTCCAAAACCACATCAAATGCTTCCCCTCCTACAACACTTCCTACATCTGCAAGACTCTCCCATACTGTACTACCTCCAGCACTCACAATTTCCTGAATATTTTCAAAACAACATTGTTGAGCTTGAAAAGAACAATTCTTTCAAAAACAGTGTGAGAATAAGATTAAAGATCATTAACTGAGAATCTGTTAAAAGGAGGTTTCTTCATCTTATCTGAGCTTTCATCTCCAACGGCTCTGGAATCTCTCCCTTGATTTCAAACTGCTTCGCCAAATACTCCTCTTCCGTCAATCCCATTTCTTCAATTTTCTTCTTACGGTACCTAGGGTTCAACATTCTGAACACTTCGATGGACTCCGGCGAACTGAGAGGAACCTCTTCACCTTCGTTGAGACTGTGACGCGCGAATTTGGCTTCGGGAGTGGGGATTTCATCCCAGGGAGCCCAGCCGCGTTCGATTCAGTTGCGCTTTCGAGCTTCATCCTTGGATTCCTTGCTATTGGGGCCGAAGGTCTGGAGGAAGGTCTCGTCAACGGGGAACTCGTCGGAGGAGAAGGACTTTGCAACGGTGGAGGGTGGTGGTTTTCGGAAGAGTAGAGGCGGAGGACTACAGTGGAAGTGGAAAAGGGGATAGGGAGGGTTTAAGGGTTTAGGAAAAGTGAAGAGATAAGAATTGGGAAAGACTTGCATTGTTACAATGCTCATACCACCTTGTGTTTTGATATTTATTATAAAACTACTTACGAAAGCGCTTTTAAAAGCGCTTTCTAAAGGTCATCTATAACAACGCTTTTACATCAAAAAGCGCTTTCGTAGTATATCCTATAGCAGCGCTTTTAAAAGCGCTTTCTAAAGGTCAGCTTTAGCAGCGCTTTGAAAAAGCGCTTTCTAAGACTGACCTTTAGCAGTGCTTTTGAAAAACGCTTTCTTAAGGTACCCTCTGAAAGGCCAGCTTTAGCAGCGCTTCCCAAAAAGCGCTTTCTAAGGATGACCTTTAAAAGCGCTTTTGAAAAGCGCTTTCTTAAGGCACCCTTTGAAAGCGTTTTTTTAAGCGAATTTTTTTTAAAATCTACAGCAGTGCTTTTTTCCAAAAGCGCTTTCTTTTATGTGCTGCTAAAACTTATTTTTAATGTAGTGTTAAAACATTGTTTAATCAAAATTTTAGCTTATGATTTGTTTGGATTTTGTTTCTTAAAACTACAACTCACTGTTGATGCAAAATTGATCTATGCTTAAAGAAGAGATTTGCGAGAATCAGTTAAAGCTATCATTCATTGTGGAAACTCTGCAATAATGCTTTTACTCTTCTCTTAATGCTTTAGTTTCTTATATATGCTGTTTTAATTTTAATTCATTTTCATTCTCATGTGAATCAAAACTCTTATCAACAACTCTTATATGCTTTTGATTCAATCTAACACTTTCTTGGTGTTAAAAATTACTAACACGGTAGTGTCAAAAGCCAGTGATAAGAGTAATATATGTTTGTATGTTACTGATTTATGGTCTTTGTTAATGTTACAGGAAGTTGTCTATGGACTCTCTGAGAGTATTTCAGGAGAATTGGAGGAGAGTATTTTAGAAGAGTTGGAAGTCTTGGTGATGAAAAAAATTCCATATGTTAACACTGTAACAAATATATTTCAGACATTGAAAATACTTCTGCAATCTGTTAGTGAGAAATTTTTTTACTGTTATATGTTTGAAGTATGATGAAATTATTGTTTTGTAATATTTGTATTAATAAAGATCCAATATGGTCTTTATTATTATTATTATCATGAAATTGAAGTTTTTGAAAAGCTCATTATGTTAGTGGGCCAAAAAAAAGGTTAACAACCTAATAACTCGTAAAAACTGTTCATACGAATAGAGTCATAAGAACTCAATTGCGGTTTGAGCCGGATAAAAGCTTTGGGTCTGAAACCGTCTGATTCGGTCTGTTGTCCACTCTTAAGAACATCTATTTTATTTTATGTTTTTAAGGAAAAAGAAAAAGGATTTGATGTGCCTAGTCAAATGACCTAATAATACTCGAGCATAGTAAAAAAATTTAAGATTAATACTAATCATTTGTGTTCGATTGAAATTGACTGACTCATTATATTTTTGTGCAAATAGATTGAATTAGATTAGATTGATTCATTTATTTAATTTGAATAGTATAAAATTGATTTAACTAAACACGAATGATTAATTTGTATCCGTCAAAAATAAAATTCGACCAAACTCAATTAATATTTATTTTCTTATTTTTATTAGTATAAATTGATCTATTATAAAAATAAGGTTTATAATGTTGTTATAATATTATCATTTTTGTACTCTAATAGCACATTGTTTATTCACAAGAATATAAGAAAATACAATATAAAATATTCTTTAATTTAAAGTTTAAAGTATGATAATGATGAAATATGAAATGATATCGAAAATATTATCCCATAATAATATTTTGTTTCAAAAATACAAAAATGTTTCTATTTTGTGCTTTTTTGAAATTATGATTTAAATTTTTAAAAAAATTGTGAATTTTATAAAAATATTTTTTATAAATTAAACCTAATAAATATTAAATCGATTAAATCTATCTAATTTACTTGAAAAATTAATCTAACCGAATCCGTCAAAAATTAAAATTTTATCGATTAAAATTTAATCTTTAAAATAAAATTGTGATTTATATCAGATTTAAATTTTAAATCTGATATCAACCCAAATCGAATTCCAGTTAATACGCTGAAAAAGGTAAATTTACTCTATATAGTTAAACATTTTTTTAAAGCAAAATATATTTTAAAAAAGAAAATTAGAGATATAAAAAGACCAAACCAAAACCCCTCAAAAATAAAATCTAAATCTAGGGATTCTATCTTTGTCTAACAAATAAACACTTGTATTAGAAGAGATTAATCCATGCATGTTAGATAAAAAATATCAATATCACTAAATATTATAATAGAATTTTTTTATATTCTATTTTAAAAATCAATCTTTTTTTATTCTACGATTGGACAGTGTCTGATTGTGTCATGATCATCTTTTGTTTTTTTAGGAGACTCCAAACAACTTTTTAGTATTGATTTAAGCATCAATAAGCACAATTATATTTTCTTTTTTATAAAAAAGAAACAAATGATAATCGTGAACTTGATGAGTTTCTCCAATATTATATTACTCAAAATTGTAGCACCCTCTCTATCTTTGATAGTGCAGCCCCAGGTTGTTTCATATCCGGAAAACAACCTGCATCAATATTTGCCAGAAAGTCCCACTCATAGTCGCCCCTCTGCTGCACCTCTGAGCCACCATTGCCAGCGGATGTTGGATGCCTTATAGCACAAATGTTTTCCTCTATCGGCGCTCTTGCGCAATTTTCCAAAGGGTTAAAAGGGTTCTGTTGGAAAAGAAAGAGGTTTCTTCCTTGCCAAGTTTTGCCTAAAGTAGCATATACCTTTTGAGTTTAGAGTGGAAAAATTAGAATCGAACTAATTTAAATTTAAACTATTAGTAAGAATTAATTATTTTTGATTATTTACTAATATTAGAATAATTAAAATTTTAAAATAATAATAATAATATAAAATTTATTTATTTTATTTAGTTAAAATAATTATTTAAGTATAATTAGGTGTGACACTGATTTAAGAATACTATTGAAATTAAATAATTATTTAATTGGGATAATAATATTATATTTTGAAATACAATATAATATTTCTTTCTTATTGATGTTTGATGCATTACATGAATGATATCTAATTCTATAGCGAATTAGAAAAACCATTATACTCAATCATTTGGTGTATAGCTCACTAATTTATATTCAGAGTTTCATATCCCCAGTCCACCAGCGTAAACAAGATTAAGTGATGCAATATAGTACGTTAATTCATAACCACTCGAGGTCTCCTATTCATATTCAACAGACGGAAGTATGATAATTTTCCTAGATCCAACATATAGACTAATGACCAGTATTTCCTATGTGTCCAAAATCAGATTAAAAGAGTATCTCACATAAAAAATATTGCGAACAAGAAGCAATTGAATAAAATAATAACTCAAATTATTCATCTAATAACAAATCAAACATATGTTCCAACGGTAACTAAAATAGGTTCATCGTACAAAATCTAACCTAAATAGATTTAGCTACTCATAATGAATAAATTACAATACCAAATAATAATAAGAGGTTTGCATAAGTTATCCCTTGAAGAAATGCCCTCCAACGACTTCAAATGCGCTCCAAATATAACTCATGGTGTTGTAAATCGTCCCCTTCAGTGTAAAATCGCAAAACCCTTGAAAAGTGTCAAAACCCCTTTTAAAGCTGTCAACGGGCGTCTAAATGCATCAGAAAGTTGTCCAGAAAAAGACTCGTCGTGCACACGATAAACTGCATCGCACGTGCGATGCAACATGTCCAGGCTCATCGCGTGCGCGACTAGGCGCGATGTTTGCGTGACAAATCCAGTAGCTGACACATGTTATGCCTTTTCAGTATCGCATGTGCGATGTTGCACGATGCATGCACGATTTTTCCAGTGTTGACACGTTTTTGGTCCTTTTTAGCCAGATTTCTCCCAAGTCTTACTTCTTCATACTTTGTCCGTTTTACTCTGTTCTTGGGCTATTCTTCATGAAATTAAGTGATCTTTAGCTTGATTTTCTCCGTTTCTTTCATAGATTTTATGTAACGATAGAGTATCATCACCAACGAAGTGTGAAATCAGTCTCAAGAGTGCAACATATGTTTGTTCACCAAATTTCCATTAATGTAAAACTTCACATTCTGTTTTTTATACTTTCCCTTACGTTTCATGATCGACAATTTACATTTCTAGTCCGAATTTTACTTTACTTGCTTTAACATCTTACAACGGGATCTTAACCACTATCAAAATCACTCAAACCCTTACTACTTTTACTCTATTTGAAAAAACTTCATGCACATTGCTCTGGGATTTACTAGTCGATCTCGCAAAGTAACTTTTAATAAGATACTAATGTTATTTACCAAATTCCAATGTAAACAACATGTCAAATACTTTGATTGGCTAGCAAAAAGAGAGTAAACATTGATGGAGGTTCGCGTCAGCACAGGTCTAGTTTACGGTAAAGAGATTCAAGAACAAATTCTAAGAAGGTTCTTTCTTTTGGTACTCAGACTAATATTGGAACATTTAGACGAACGCCCATACTAATATTGTCTACGCGAGTAGGCGTCGAGGACGGGGGTGGTTCGTGGTTCCCCGATGCGACGTTTCATATTCCACGTCATCTCTATAAATAGGGCTTCAGGGCCCATAGTTTGTTTTCACATCTTCACGCTTCTCATATTTTCTCTATTTTCAATCACCGTGAGTTTTCCTAGCGTCGCTGATACCGCCGTGCCGTTTGCCGTGTGTTCATCTCCACCACCGTCGCTCTTCACTCTTCTCCCAAGTAAGTGTTTTTTCCCTTTGATATTTCATATTGTAGATAGATTTTGATGGTGTTTTAGTGGTAGAATCTCATGTCTGGGGATTGTGCCCGAGAAGTTTAAGCACCCTAGGCGCCTGATTCATGACTATGGCCGAGATATTCATAAGTTTAGGCATACGGTATACGATCATGCCTGTGATACTCATGCGTTTGGCTAGTAGATCTATGAACCTGGTCGGAAGATTCATCCTTTCGTTAGTATGTAGGATAGCTTTCCCCATAGTATTCTTGTATCGGGCTAGCAACATTATGAACTTGGTCGCGGGATTCATCCTTCGCTCGCGATATTCATGCTATGCTCGCGTCGTTCATGATTGATACACGTCTGCCGCTGAGGTTGGTGTTTGGTCGAGGTCCTCATGTTCCCCGTTTTTCGTGTGAATGGTTGTTGACTCGGCCTGAGTGTTGCTTACTTCTCCCTGTCTTTGTGGCGGAAAAGCATATTTGTTGTCGAATTCACCGGTTTCCTGTACTTTGCAGGTAAATGGTTGATATTCCTGAGTCCTCGAGGCGTAATGATGTCGAGGAAATAAGCACTACGGAGGAAACCACCAACCTGGTCGACACCGTTGATGACCCCACTCTGGATTGGGTTGATGCTGAACCCCTGTTAATAGCTTTGATCTATAGCCTTTCCAGTAGACAAGCTTACGTTGTCATCGAGTATGGCGGCGGCCAAGAGGGATTTTGAAGAAACTTTAAGATTATGAGGCCGACGAGGGATGCCCGTATCTGCTCGGAGTTTACACAAGATGCATTTCCCATGTACGAGATCGTATTTAAAGATCTCGGGCTTAGGTTGCCCTTCAATGACTTCCAGGTGGGAGTGTTCAACCATATGAACCTGGACCCCTCCCAACTTCATCCTAATGCGATTGCCTTTCTCCGGGCATTCGAACTTACCTGCCGCTTCCTGACAATTAGGGCGACGATTCCCCTGTTCTTCAAGGTTTTTCACCTACAACGGCAATCCCTAGGAGGGAAGAACAACTGGGTGTCCCTTAAGCAGTCGAAGAGACTATTTAGGATGTATATGGATTATGCGCGAGATTTTAAGGATAAGTGGTATATCTTGCAACCGTCAACCCAGACAGTCGTAGATTCGTTGTTCGAACCGGCCATTGTGGTGGACGAGGATGGGGAGCCATGTTTGGATGCTGAGAGTAATCCCGAGATTGGGAAAGTCTCTAAGTTTCCTATTCACTAGTGTTCGGGCCATTACGACCATGGGCCTGGATACTACCACACTCCTGCTAGGGGTATGAGTGTTGAGCACGAGGAAGCTTATGGCATCCTGAACAAGTTTGTCAATGGCTTCTTTCCTACTCGGTGGGTTACGAGGGAAGGGGATAACATTCTTGATGAGGATGGCTATCCGACGTTTGAGGCACGCCCGATCAATACCAAGGCGCTCGTCGAGTGCCAATCCTACGGGAAAGCCGTAAACCTCTTAGGTTTCTTGCTTTGCTCTATTGACATTCCTCTTTATTTGTTTTTTTTAATGTATGTAGCTAACTCAAGTACACTTCCTTTACAGGTCACATGGCGGAGCATCGCGAGAGGTTGCTGAAGCTAACTCGAGACAAGAAAATCAGCAAGAGATTGGTGAGGCCGCAACAAGCCACACGGATGGGCCCGACCCCTGACCCGGGCAGGGAAGGATCTAGTGGGTCCTCGGTGTGATCGGTGGATCTGGAACTGACTGTTTTTTAGCTGGTTTCGCGAAATGTCGCGGTAAGCAAGAGTCGCCACCGTCTTTTATTTTCTCCAATGTGGAAAGGACAAAAGCACAGAAAAATTCCTTATGAGATTGCTCTCGGTTCGGGAGGTAGATTATAGAAAGGGAAGGTGTTAGCACCCTTTCTATCCATGGTTATCCATGGGCTCTTAGATACTTGCTCATTGTGTTTTCAAAAGTGTTTGTTTGCTTTTCAAGGTGAGTGGGTTTTGAAAAAGTTTCGTTTGAAAAATCTCTAAGTAACTCTTGTATCTGTCCTCAAGAGTGTATGAAAAATTTGTTTGAAAACTTTTAGAAAGTGTAGGTGTGAAAAGTATTTTGTTTGTTTTTGAAAAGAGCAAGTATCTATGAGAATCTACCTACCCTAAGGAATTCGTCTGTGTAAATATCCTTTAAAGTAGTGTCATCCCACCATTGAGAGGTAGGTAGCACCACCGTTGGAGGTGTTCGGGTCAATTCGAGGTTCGGGACATGGTGATCACCGGAGTAATAGGAAGACACCTTAGAAGCTACCCTCATGCCAGGTTCCCGGATCATGAGGACTTACTAAGACATCCTCTACTCGACGATCACCTTTCGAGGGGCAAGGCAACAGTGAAGCGTACCCTAGGGGTGGTGTGTGAATTGTGTGCCATTTTCAGTTTATTGTTTGTCTTGTCATGCATTGGTGATCTACGTTTTGATTTTTATTTTTGGGCATTCATTCTTTCATGTTATTGTTTAACAGTTAAAGGTGCGGGAATTTAAAGTGCGGAAAAGATAAAGGTCCTACGCTATTACAATGGCGCGGGTCTACAACGCCAAATTAATCCAGACCCGATTTAAAATAAAGTGCAGAAAATAAATGTCTAATTGACTATTACAGGGCTTTGGAACAAGTACATTATATTTACAACAAAGAAATAAATAAAACGCGCGAAAAGAGAATATAATCGAATGCGAGGGCGTTGGACCCTTTAAAGGAATAAAAATAAAATTAATAGAATAATTAAATTAAATAAAAAGAAAGAACTTATTTTTTATATTTTTTTGTATTTATGACATTAAAGAAAATTAAATTAATTAAAAGCCAAATAATTCTAGTTCTAACTATTTTTTTATTTATTAAAGAAAATGCATTAAAGTTAAAACCTAGAATTAAAACTAAATTAATTATAAAATTTATTTACAAAAATTAATGGTTAATGATACTTATAATAAAAATATTTAATAAAAAAAGAAAATGCTAAGGTCTATTTTTATTATTTTTGGTTATTGTAAAAAAGAATTAAATTTAACAACTTAAAATAAAAACTAAATTTATTATGGGATTTATTTACAAGAATGCTAAAATAAAATATTTATTATTTTTTATGTTTTCTGATTTTTTATGTTTTGGTGTTTTTTTTATGAAAATAATAAATTAATCAAAAAAAACAATAATTAAAAGAAAATAAACATAATAAAAAAAAATAAAGAGATAAAAAGGATTTGCAAACCTAAGGGGGTGAAGCCCCTAATTTGGAGGTTGGTCTTTAGTAATCTGGGCCCAATTACTCTTGGCCTTGTGGACTTTTCCAGGACACGTGTGGATGCATTGACTCAGGCTTATGGTGCTCCTCCGATCAAAGCCACTGGATCAATCTCCATGGGCGCGTGTCAATCTGGATCAAGGGGTGCATGATGGTCTTCAAGGTTTGAACTGCATAGAAATGTTAAATAGAAAATAATATGAAAGGGGGGTGAGGACCTGGGGCTCGAACCCAGGTCCTGAACATTACCACTCAAGCGCTTCACCAACTGGGCTATTTTGTTTATCTGTACATAATATACCAAATAAATATAATAAAGTAAAACTAAATGCTAATGCGTTTTTCGCGCGAGATTTCAAACAGCCCAATTCTGGATGGCCACCTCATCTTCTTCTTCTACGTTCCCTGAAACACAGAACAATAAGCAACGGTTTTCTAAACGTTCTAAAAGGTGTCTTTCCAAAAAATAACGAATAGCTTGTAGTGGCTCATAAATTGAGCGCGAGGCATCTAATCTCTTCGTCCAAGCATGCTGGTTGCAACCATGGCATCGTGATTCTCCAATTTTGCTGTATTCAAAAACCCCTAATTCAAAAGCTTAAGAACCCTAAAAAAACAAAAATGGCAGATTCTCCAATAGTGCATAAAAACGCAATTAGAATATAGGGTTAGCTTCAAAACACATTGCTTAGTATGAATATGTAAACAAAATGCTATGAGAATGTCTCAAAATTAAAACACGAATATGTATTTTTGTGAAGAAAAGTTGACTTCTGTATACCGATTCAAAGGGTTAGGGACGAATTTCTTGGTTGGAAAAGTTCTCTTGAAGCCTCAGGAAGCTAATGAGATCAAAATCTTGCCTTGAATCGTACTACAAGTATGTTTTCAGATTTTGAGTTTTCAAGCCAAAAGTGTGAGTTTTCCTTTTGTGTTTTTTTCGTTTTTTTGAGATGCTTAGCCTTCCAATTTTAGTTTGTATCACTTGTATAGGTCTTATGCCACATGTATGAAGAGGAATTATGGCTCCATAATGCATAGCATTCAATTTCAAGATTCTCCATAAACCTCCATAACCAAATTTCCATTTTTGAACCATTTTTTTGAATTCTTGCTTCTTTGAGCCTTGGCACGAAAATGGGATATACATAATGGTGCTTCAAGGTTAATCAAAGCCAAATATTCCCTTAAATTAATTTTTTTGAATTTCTCTTGATTTTAAAAGATTTAAAATTAATTAAATCCAATAAAATCAATAAAAAATGAAAAAATTAATTAAAAAATCTGAAATAAAAGGTGGGACACGTGGGAAGCATGGCCAAGTTAATTCAAGTGGAAAAAGTGGGCCCCTTTTGTCAAAAATGAAATTTCAAGGATAAATGATTTTGGCCATTTCACAAAAATTTCCCAACTTCTCCAATGCATATCTTGCTCAATTTTTAAGCTTTGATCATTTTCTGGAACATTTTAGAAAGGTCTTGAAGTCCTCTAAACAATTTCCTTGGTCCAATGTCATTTTGATTTACCAATCTCAAGTTATGGCCTTTGACTTAAAGTCCCTTTTTGTTGACTTTTGAAAATGACCTATAATGTTGAAATTGATAACTTTTTGTGAGAGCATTTCTTGGACTTGAAGTATGAAGAGGAGTTGTAGGAAATGTCTTTATCTTCAAAATGAGCATTGGATGGGATTTTTCTGATGAACCATGAAAAAGTTATGCCCTGGTCAATTTACAGTTGACTTTTCAGCTGTCCAAAAATAGAAACTTTTGACACTTTGATGATTTTTGAGCCATTCTTTGAGAATCATGATCAAGCATTGATCAAATGATGTTTGTGGCTTCAAAATGAGATGTTGACCAAAAATTTGAACTTTTGACTGTCAAATGACCATTTTGCCCCTACAGTTTACTGTAGTGCAATCAGGGTTTTTGATTGTGCAATTTTGTGCTGAAAGTCTTGAAACTTTGCATGAGGATGCTTGACCATATTTGTAGGCATGTGAGACTTGATTGGACCCTTG